GGCTTTGGGGTGGAGTTCCATCAGTACGCTGATGACACCCAGCTGTACATCTCCATCCCAGGCCACCCCAATGATGCCCTTGAAGTGATGTCCCAGTGCCTGGAGGCCGTGCGGGCCTGGATGGGGAGAAACAGGCTCCAACTCAACCCTTCCAAGACCGAGTGGCTGTGGCTTCCGGTGTCCCGATATAACCAGCTGATGCCATCGCTGGCTATTGGGGGCGAATCACTTGCCTCCACGGAGAGGGCTCGTAACTTGGGCGTCCTCCTGGATGCACGGCTGTCTTTAGAAGATCATTTGACGGCCGTGGCCAGGGGGGCTTTTTATCAGGTTCGCCTGATATGCCAGTTACACCCCTTTCTAGATCGGGACTCCCTACGCACAGTCACTCAGGCACTCATCACTTCCCACCTGGACTACCTCAACGCTCTCTACATGGGGCTCCCCCTGGGGTGCACCTGGAGGCTCCAGCTGGTCTAGAACGCGGCCGCGCGGGGGATTATGGGGGCGACGAGGTGCTCCCATGTGACACCTCTCCTGCGCAAGCTGCACTGGCTTCCGGTGGTCTTCCGGGTGCGCTTCAAGGTGTTGGTGACCACCTTTAAAGTGCTCCATGGCTTAGAGCCGGGGTATCTACGAGACCGCCTTCTGCCACCAATAGCCTCCCACCGGCCAGTACGCTTGCACAGAGTGGGCCTCCTCCGGGTGCCGTCTGCCAGACAATGTTGGCTGGCGACCCCCAGGGGGAGAGCCTTCTCTGTGGCGGCGCCCACCCTCTGGAACAACCTCCCCCCAGAGATACGTACAATAACAGACCTCCGGATTTTTCGTCGGGCCCTGAAAACCTATTTATTTCAACTAGTTGGGCTGGCTTGAGTTAAATTTTAAATTGATTTTAAATCGGATTGTTTTAATTTACGGCCAAAATATTTAATTATTTTAAACTGTTTTTTAAATTTTGTATGTTCTGTTTTTTTACTTTGGCTGTTCACCGCCCTGAGTCCTAATTGGGGAAGGGCGGTATAGAAATGGAAACAAATAAATAAATAAAATAAATAAATACGAGCAGGAGAACCATGATTATTGTGCTCACTACTATACCTGCAATATATTGAAACTTACTCTATTACTGCAGGAAGCTTCTACTGGCATATATTATGGGATAGCTAGCATTTAATAGCTTTATCTGAGTGTTTATATGAATATCAATAGGAGCTTGTAATTGACCACTTGATTTAATGCAGAGAAGATAGAGACATATTAAGTGAGGCTAGGGCACATATCTGCATATTTTTTTACCAGTATTAATTATAGACACTCTTCTGTTTGTCATGACTGTGAGGCCCAGAAGGCCAGTATAGTTGCATCTGATTGCTGATATCCAATTAGCACCACCCAGAGAGCATGTGCAGCTTAAGGCAGGGGTCTCCAACCTTGGCAACTTTAAGCCTGGAGGACTTCAACTCCCAGAATTCCCCAATCAGCTTTGCTTTGCTGGCTGGGGAATTCTGGGAGGTGAAGTCCTCCAGGCTTAAAGTTGCCAAGGTTGGAGACCCCTGGCTTAAGGGATGCTACAGATGTGGGCGACTTTGTGTATAATTACATGGATTGTGTGCATATGTTTATTTCTCATGGTCTTGTTCTCATCATATCTTAAATAAAAAAAATAAATAGTATTAAGAAGTTATATTCTGGCAAAATAGCAAAAGAAGGCAATTGTGTGCCAAGTAAACCTTCATTTTGCAATTTGTTCTAAATTTTGGAATCATTAAACACATTGTAAGTAAAAAAAAAAGTTAATTATCCTGCTGAGTCTAGTTGGGTGTAGTTGGGTCTACACGATGACAGCATCCAGTCTTCTATGCAATTATACAGACATGATGATTATTTTTATCATATCCCTAGAAAGCTGGCTTTCCATTTTTGTTCTCCTATCTTGCAAGAAGTGCTGGCATACATACAACAGATTTAAGCTAAAAACAGAATGGAAGTCTCATATTGATCTTAACAGGTAATGAAATACACTATACCATTCTTAATACTCTGTGGATATAGGAACCTGAACAGCTATTGTCAGCCACTGCCACTACTACACAGCCTAGAAATGCAAGACATTTCTGTTTCTGCACAAAGCTTCAAGAGATAAATCCCATTTCATTCCCTGACAAAGGAGCTACTAGCCCTGGAATCTTTCCATGCAGCTAAACGTATTGCAAAGCTTTGAGCTTGCTACAGATTAATAGTCAAAGATGACAGGCTGTTGAAAGGGAAAAAAAGGTCCTATAATACCATTTTGTTTATTATTTATCTCAACCAGTGAATTTGTTCGAAGCAATATTCTTTCTCATAGCCACATGCAAGCCGATATAACTTTGAGTTTAATATCAAATATCAATAGTAGATGTAAATAGTAGCCATAATTTAAAATACTGTGAGCTTTCTTACGGAGCTTCCGCTGAGTTCATCTCCAGACATGAGACAAAAATGTACACAAATTAATTTTTCCAATATCACAGCAAAGGTGGCAGTTCTAATAATCCTGTACATGCCTGACAAAATATATATACATTTGTGTATATAATACAAAATGCAGGTCACAACTGATCTATTTAGTTTATATATAATGGCAGACCTAAGAGTGATCTAAGGAGTAGCTATAAAAGTGAGTTTCTCTGTTCTTTGTTCAGAAAAGTCTAGCCTGAAGTTTTGGATGTCTTCCTGAATGAATTATTCATCTCCAATTTCCCCCATTCCATCCCATCCAGGAAAGTACAGGTAATCCTCAATTTAGGGCCACAATTGATTTATGTTGCTAAGTGAGAAATTTGTTAAGTGAGTTTTGCTGCATTTTACGACTTTTCTTGCTACATTTGTTAAGTGAATCACTGCAGTTGTTAAATTAGTATCGTGGTCGTTAAGTGAATCTGATTTCTGCATTGATTTTGCTTGTCAGAAAGTGATCACAAGATCACCTGGGACACTGCAACTGTCATAAACGTGAGTTAGTTGTCAAGCATCCAAATGTAAATCACATGACTCTGGGGTTGCCAAAATGGTCGTAAGTGTGAAAAATGGTCATAAGTCAATTTTTTTCCAATGCAGTTGTAACTTCGAACAGTCACTAAGCAGACTGTTGTAAGTCGAGGACTACCTGTATTTTCTCAGATACCGCTGGGAATTTCTAGTTTTATCAACTTTCTTCTGCAAGTATGAGTAACTCTTTGATTGTGAAGAACATTTTTTTCTTTTAATTATGTTTGTTTGATCTTAGTTAATTCAAGATGAGGTGGCCTGAAGGGGGGAAAGTATTTTTAATTTTGGAAAAATGTACTTTTTGAAAGTGAAAAATGTTATTTTTAAAATTTTAAAAAGAGTATCAGTAAAACATAAAATCAAAACTTTTGCTCCTTTGCAAAGAGTACATTTTGGTTCCCTTACATATCAGATTCAATAAATGTCTGCAATACAAAGCAGGTTGGTAGGCTGCTCTAATAATAATCACCTGCGCTCCCACTGAGTTAATAAATCAGGATGGATGAATTAATTACTTCCAAAATTATCTCAAGCATGAGAGACAGTTGATGTCTTTCAAATTAGGAATTAATTATTACAATGAAACTCAAAAGTTGCAGGCGGTTTTAAGAAATGAGCTAGGGAAGATTACTTCCAAGTCAGTGGGCTACTTCATCTCCCCCGATATAATTGGCAGAGCCTGCCATCAAGAAAGGATAAGAGACATCAAAAGTATTTCTAAAACTATTAAACAACAAGCATAAGACTTCTCCATCAAAGGCTAAGGGAGAGGCTTGGTCTGCTTGAAGAAGTTTAAAGGGATCAATTATCTCCTGATGCTGAGTGAGTTACATCTCAATAGGAGATAAACAGATTTAATTTTTTTTCCTCCAACCTTTATACATTCTTCCTACAAGTTGTTGGTTTCTATTGCTCTGCCTGCCTTCTGTTCCTAGCTACCTGCGCTCAGAGACAAGTAGTGAGAATGGCAACAGACTATTTATATCACATTTTCTCCCTTCTGGTTTCTCCTATGACTATGAAACAAAATACAGTTAGGCAGAACTATTACTCTGACCAAATGCCCTGAAGGCCAACAGGGCAGAGCTGAGGAGAGATACCTAAGTATATTTTTATTCTTTTCCATTTCTAAAGAGTTTCTCTTGTGCGGGATGAGAGAGAATACAATAAAACCAGTTTGTTGGTCGCCTCAGTGCTACTCAAGTCACTACACTTCTTTCAACCTTTGATGCAAATAATCATAAAGAGTGGTGGAAAAAGAGGATGCCATGTTCGATTTTTTTCTAACGATGCTAAGCCAAAGTTTAATATCATAGGGAATGGAAATAATCAATCCTGTGGATGTTGTCTTTGGAACTATAGGACTATGGATTACATAATGTTCAATTCTTCTTTTTGGAATTCTTAGAACTGACATATTCACCAAAAAATGCCAGAGCTAGGATCTTTATTTCATTTTAAGGGAAAATTGGAAAATGAAGGGTTGGTATTCCCCATTTTTTTGTAGGACATGACCAGGCTGAGTCTGAGGGGAGGGGGTCAAACATGTCATTAGTCATGAGTCCATGCACACCTGCAAGAGGTCTAAGTCCAGTCACCTTGAATGCTTTCTTATTCCTGCTCATTTTCCTTGACTGTTAGTAGTTCAGATTTTTGTAAAAAGCTTAAGTTTGCAGTAAATCTTTATACTCATTTGAACTACCTGAATCTCCTGATTCCCCTGGCACTTGACATTTTTAACTTCACCTGAATGTGCATTTTCAGGTATTCCTTAAGTCTGTTCAGGCCACTGTTATCAAATTATCCTTTTTCTGAGCACAACATTGGTCAGTTTTGGAAGCATTATAGGATCAGTTATGATCTTCAGATGAAAGCTTCAGCATTTGACTGTTGAAGATATTACCATCATACATACATATATTTCAAAATTGTGGTTAATGATTTCAGCGTCATCAACGACAATGTACCTGTTTAAGTCACGATGTATAATTGGCTGGGTAAGATTGTGAAGATACTCCATACCTTTAGCAACATCTACTGCAATGATTAATTTGGACTGCAAGTCGAGGTTTCTGCAATGAAGACAAAAAAAAAAAAAAAAGACTTGCCTTCATCAAATTAGAGACAGGTGAAATGAATTTGTCAGACCTCCTGATTAGTAACTAAATTGATAACTAGTATTTGTCATAAGCAAATCAATTTGTCTCTCCAAGCAATTTAAAATGAGAAATTATCTCTAATTTGCAATAGGTTTGTTCTTAATTAGAACTTAGATAAGTTATTCATTTACCTACTATTCTATCTCTTCTAATATCTTCCAATAATAGATTTGATAGTCCAATAATCTTTAGAAAAACATGGTGGAAAAGACAAGATAGAACATATCTCATGATGAGCGTGAACATTCATTACTACTAGGATGTCAAAATGACAACAGGTGTATTGTTAAAAGGATGCAATTATGTAATTTGTGCCAGTCAAGGCACAATGTTTGATGCAAGGATGTAAGTAGCATCATTTGTGAAATGATATCAGGATCTCATTATTTGCCCACCTTGCTCCTTGTTACAATTCATGTTGTTCCTGGAATTTATGCTCATGCCTTACTAATCTCATGGTAAATGGAAGCTCCCCTGAGGCAGGCGTAAAAGGAATAGATTTGTTATTTTCATGGAGGAAGCCTAAACCCAATCGTTATGCATAATCCTTTCCTGTATTTATCAGTATATTGCAAATTGTAATGTTTCCGAGACAGAGAGCAAAATCAGATGGCAAACATATCTATTAATCAATATGGAGAGAATAGATGGGCAAATGTAGAAACACATTTGCTTAAGATTCTTTATGCTGCAGCTACTGTTTCCTACATAAGAATCATAAATAACTTTTGCTGACTGCTTTCAGTCATATTTTCAAAATACTGTTGGTGTATTTGTAACCAATTATATTTAAACCCTGGAATGGAGAAACTGATCAAATCAGGAAAGGAGATGTTTGCTTATTTGTTCATTTGTTTATTTAGGATTTTCTTTTTTAGATTTTTTTTAAAAATCTCCAATATGAAGCCTTGAAACATAATGAATAAATCAACTCAACCAGGCACGCATATGGAGAATGTGGCCTATGGATAATAATGATGGTAATGGCATTACGTGAAATTTCAACATGCATAGCAATCCCTAGGAGAGCAAGAGACAAAACATTTTCATGCAATATTGCAACACAAATAAAAGGAAATGGAGCATGTATCATGATGTCAAGATGGACATCGTGATTAAGGAAAAATTTTCTGAAGAACAATTAATGAGTGGAATGACTTGCCTTCAGAAGCTGTGGATACTCCAAGGCTGGAGGTTTTTAAGAAGAGATTGGACAACCATTTGTCTGAAACTGTATAGGCAGTGATGGCTAACCTTTTTGCCATTGCATGCCAGGAGCAGGGGGGGTGCACATCCATAATTCTATGCACTCTGCCCCCATGCATGCATGTGCGACCCCCCCCGCTCCCCTTGCTCCTGGTACGTGATGGCCCAGTAGGCCCGTTTTTCTCTCTCACCAGGCTCCAGAGCCATTTTAGGAGTCTGGGAAGGGCAAAAATGGCCTCCCCCCCTGGAGGCCCTCCAGAGACCGGAAATGGCCCATTTGCCAACTTCTGCTGGGATCAGAAGGCCTATATTTTGCTGTCCCCAGGCTCCAGAGCTTTTCTAGGAATCTGGGGAGGGTGAAAATGGCCTTCCCCACCCTCCCCGGAGGCCCTCAGGAGGCTGGAAATGGCCCGTTTGCCACCTTCCGGTCCCACCCCAGACTTGCCCCAGACTCACCCCGGACTCGCCCTCCCCAGACTCCTAGAAAGGCTCTAGAGCCTGGGGAGAGAGAAAAACATCCCCCCCCGAGACCCACCACCCCCGAGACCCTCCGGAAAACAGCCTGTTTCCCTACTTCTGGTGGGTCCTGAAGGCCCGAAAATCAGCTGGCCAGTGCATGCATGCATGCCAGAGCTGAGCTCACGTGCCCACCTACACATGCCACCTGCGGCACACGTAACATAGGTTTACCATCACGGGTATAGGGTTTCCTGCTTGAGCAGGAGATTGGACTAGAAGAGCTCCAAGGTCTCTTCCAACTCTCTGATTCTGACATCATATTAATGTTGTGATAAGGATTGGATGCTTGTATCAATATCTCATATTTATAATTATGTCTGTAGAAAGTGAGTTGATTTATGCCAAGAAGTCTCCTGAACCAACACCTGCCAGAATGAAATTTAGGCATGGACTATTTTTCCAACTGGTTATCTCCACTGAGGAATTTGGGTCAATATAGTTGAGAAAACTACTCAATATTTTTTCCCAAAGCTAATTGTCATAGCCTTCCCATGGAAAAGTGCAGAAAATAATCTGTGACTAAAGGAAAAAGAAAAATTCTAGATCAGGCGAATGATCACTACGGTTTATTAAACCTGTTCACTGGATCTTTAGTAACAGGCAACTGCTTTTGTGCACCTTGACTTGTCTTGGAAGAATATATAAGTAAGGTATATATTTCATCTCTATAAATATTCTTGGAATCAGAAAGATATGATCACCAGGAATTCTTAGGTTACGGTAATCATTTTGAGGCAACTTGAAACCATACCTCAGGTTTGAAGCCTGAACCCTGCTTGACAGTGTCGCTGCTTCTAAAGAATGTCAGCCTGTCTGTTTTACAGCTCTCTGTTGTAACATGCAACCTCCTCATGCTCTTAATTTACTTTACTTTCCAAGCTACTAGTTCTGTGTATATTTTTGCATTGTACATTTTACTTTACTCTCACTTTTTTCATACCAGTGTAACTTATCACCTCTTTTCTCCTCCTTCTGCAGTCCTTTCTCCATTGCCTCATCAATTTTCTTCTTCTTTCCTTTTCCACTGGATCACTAAGGATCTCAGTGTACAGCTAACTATAGATAGGGTCATTGTGGGCTTTGGGCAAATTCATGGAACCCATGCAAGAAGCTCTCCTTGAGTGCTCACCTCTGGCCAATCCACTCTGCCTTAAATTAATATGGTTGTGATAGGTCAATTTACCTTTTTTGCTCATGCAACAGTGAAAAGAGAGATCCTCCAGATATATATTGAGTGACTATGGCAAACTGACTTGGATCGTCCAAGCAAGCACCAACAAATTGAATAACACAAGGATGATTGAGTCGGCACAGAATGGAAACTTCACGGCAAAACATATCGACATCTGATTTAGAGCAATAGGTATTGGCTCGGTAACTGATAAAGAAAAAAAGAATATATATTTTTATGTATATATATATAATAGCTTTAAGGGTGCAAATTTAAAATCATAATTCATTAATAAAATAACTGAATAGAAGATACTATTAATGTTACCGTTTGATTGCAACTATTTTATTTCTGCACCTTCCTTTGTACACCTTTCCAAAAGATCCTGCAACAAATTAAGAACATACCGATAAGTACATGTGTGCGTATGCTAAAATGAGCATATTTTCCACTTGCTTTTACCTGAGCCAATAATTTCATGGAACTCTATTTCTGAGAGCTGGAGGTGAAAATGGGATGGCAAACCAGCACGAAGTAGGAGAACATCTGCCTTTTCTGTAAAGCAAAAATGTGTACTAAAAGCCTTGAATTTAGCAGCAAATAAATAAATTACATCCTACAAAACAAATTTTCACACTATGAAACAAATAAATAAATTGCCATCTTTTAAATTATACATTGGTTAGCTAGTATCTCAGCTCCTCTTTGTTTTAGTATCTTACAAAGAGTCCACATAATAAACAAATTTTCAACATCCTATCCGTCTTAGAGCTTTTTGGGTTTAGAAGCTTATCACTAAAAGAACAGTGCTCCAGTTCGTATGCATACTCTATCTGCATCATGTAATGGCTGCAGAAAATCCTTTATACAAGGAATTAGTTCCTTGTCTGTCTAACAGAAGCTTATGAAGCTATTTCCATTGCCATTGCGATCTACTGTTGAGTGACTCCTGGAATTGGATTTGATACACAACTTAATTTGTAGATTAACTTATTATTCCATGTGCTCTGCTATAAGAGGTCCACCCAAACATTTCTCAAAGAAACATTTGAATATGTCTCTTGATCAGATGGGCAGAATAAATCTCTTACAGAACTCAGAGCTTTTATTTGGAAAGAAAATTAAGAAAGGACACGAATCAAGAGAATGATTGACTTGTTTTAGCTTTACAGACATAATTTTAAAGATTCTTTTAAAATGAAGGCACAAACTAAATCAAATGAAACTTATGTTATTATCAATACTAATTTTGGAATATATAGAAAACAAATCTCAGTAAGAATGATGTCCTAGTGACATAGGAAGTATTGCAATAATGTCAGTGAATACTTTATGCTCTATGTACAGCTTTTCTCAATTACAGTTCTTACTGAATTTAAGCCAAACTTCCAACCATCTAAATCACTGAGACTGCTTTTTAAGCTGAGGTGAGTTTCAGCAGGTTCTAACCAGTTCTAGAGAACCAGTAGCAGAAATTTTGAGCAGTTCGGAGAACCGGTAGTAAAAATTCTGACTGGCCCCACCCCCATCTATTCTCTGCCTCCCAAATCCCAGGCTGATTGGGAGGAAATGGGGATTTTGCAATAACTTTACCCTGGATTAGGGAGGGAATGGAGATTTTACACTATCCTTCCCCTGTCACGCCTACCAAGCCATGCCCACCAAGCCATGCCATGCCCACCAAGCTACACCCACAGAACTGGTAGTAAAATTTTTTGAAACCCACCACTGTTTTTAAGGTATTTCCACATGGCATGTCTTCCCCAGTGTCCCTACAAAGAGGCCTGGGAATGTCCCAATGACAACAATAGTTTGTGATGAGGTCATTTTGAGTTCCATGGCATAACTGACAACTGCTGCCTCCACCTGACAATGCACAAAACACAAAAATCTACACCAGCTTGAGTCACAAGCCTGTGTCATCCTGAGTCCCCTCTATTCTATTGCACCAATATAACAAAAATAAAGTCATTACTCCTCTCATCTTAAAAAGAGCAGAGAGATGGTGGTGTGGCACTAAGTCATGTGATCTGTAGTACAGGTAGTCCTTGACAACAACAGTTCATTTAGTGACTGTTCAAAGTTACAACAGCATTGAAAAAAGTGACTTACAACTGTTTTTCATTGTTACAACCTTTGCAGCATCCCCATGATCGTGTGATCAAAATTCAGATGCTTGGCAACTGGTTCATAGTTATGACCATTCCTGTGCCACAGTCATGTGATCCTCTTTTGCGACCTTCTGACAAGCAAATCAACGGGGAAGCCAGATTCACTTAACAACCGAGTTACTAACTTATCAACTGCAGTGATTCACTTAATAACTGAGGCAAGAAACATCATAAAATGGGACAAAACTCACTCCACAAATGTTTCACTTAATGTCAGAAATTTTGGGGTCAATTGTGGTCGTAAGTCGAGGACTACCTGTATAGGAAAGGAGCATGAGAAGTCAAGGGATGGGAGAAACAGAATTTCCTGCCAATGGAGAACTGTCTCTGTTCATTTGAAAAGTTCTCTTTCGACACTCATTCCTTTAGCTCAGCAGGAGAACTTCAGTTAATCTTCTGTCCAGGATTGATAATGGCATGTGAGCATGAAGCTTCACAATTAACTTGGACATAGTGGAAATGTTGTATAAGTAGTGGCTGTTAAGGAGCTATGTTAAACCCTGCTCATTGCACAATACACAATACTCTTAAACATTAGCTGCTAAGTATAGTCTATCATAAAGCAGACTTTACAATTTGCTTTGACATTCTTATATATTCTATATCACTCCATATTATGATTTGCCTCGTCTACACTTTCCTCTCTCTTACTGAAATTAGTCCAGGAATTGAATTAGGCAAGAAAATCTTATCTATAGGTGTGCAAAATGGTTTTAAATATAGCTGTTTCAAGTGAGTCATATACAGAAAAAAAACACACCTGTTTTGATGGTGGTATTTTCTTTTGAGTTTAGACCAAAGTATGATTGATTTGCATATAAAGAATGTTAAGTATTTTGTTCTGTTTTAGGTGATGTAATTGTTGTTCTCTTGCCTCTTATAACTGGGCTGTTATCTTCTGAATTTTCCAGCCTGGACTGGTGCAGCAGAAAAGGCTATCATAACTCTGGAGTTATTGGTTTAGCCTTTAAGTGGGATCTGGGGGCAGTTTTGGAGTGAATCAGCAGGAATTTAAAGAACAATTGTCACAGTTAGAGAACCATTCAGGATCTAACTGCCATTGAAGAGAAACTGAAGAATGAGTTATGAGCTAATATTTGTTTATTAGGCCACTTAACTCGAGACAAATCTGGGTGGCTTGCAACATTGCAAACAACAACAATACAAAAAAAAAAAAAAAAAACCCAAAACCACCAAAGGAACAGAAAAGACATATAAGATGTCTAGAACAGATGAACATTCAACTCAGTAGAGAAAATCCTATGATATGCCTGAGGGGAAAAGCCATGTTTTTAATGACATTTAGAATGAAGGCAGGGCAGAAGGCATCAATATCTTTGGGATAATGTTGTTCTAGAGAGCAGGCACAGTGACAGAGAAGCCCGCTTCCTGGATGCCATCAGAAAGAATTGTTTGACCACAGCATGCCAATTGTGTCTGACCAAAGAGAAAGGGCAGAATTTATTGAAGATAGAAAGTTCCTCAGATAAGCAGGCCGATGCCACGAAGGGTTTATAGATGATAACCAGCACCTTGCATTGCACCTGGAAACTATCTTATAAATCAAAGAGTCACATGGGTGTATTTCAGTAGTACATATACAAGGTGGCCAGGACATGAGTGATTGCCTGGAGGTGCTCTGGATTCAGGAATGGGCACAATCAGTGGTGGGCTGCAATCAGTTTAACAACCAGTTCAGTGAGTGTGGGTTTTGTGCACACATGCAGGTTTGCACACATTCAAAATACAGCCATTTGATGCTCAGCTGCTTATCTTCTAAGGCAGCCCCGGTAAGTAGAACAGCAGAGGAGCGAAAATCAGCTGCGCTGCGCGAATCAGCTGATCCAGAAAGATGAAAATATAGGACAGGATAGGGCGGGGGTGGGGGGGGCAGCTGATAGTCGGAACTACCTGTTTGGCTGAACTGGTCTGAACCGGCAGCAGCCCACCACTGGGCACACACAGCTCACAGGATCAGGTAGTTGACTTGGGTCAAGATATACAACTAAGTAACCATCTGCATGTTCATACCCAGCCTTCACAAGTAATGAGAAACTGCTTACTCACGAGTAAATCAAACTCTATATTTTAAAACAGGGCAGGGACAGTCTTTGTTCACATTGGATAAACAAAACCAAAAGTAATTAGTCACAAATGAAAGTCTTTTCCCTTTCTGAAACTGGGCAAGAACAGTCTCTGTTCACATGAGAACTCAAGATAAAAAGTCCTTTCAATGATTAAGCCAAGCAAGAACAGTCCCTGTTCACACCGGCTGAGACAAATTCACTCTCTGTTATTTCCCAGCAGGGAGACTCAGTTGGCACCTCAAATACAGAGCAATTAATCCCGACAAACCTGATTCTGGCAAAGGAATCCGACTTGATTGATGTAAACTGGAAAACGAACGGTTGTCTGCAACAACAGGCCACTCCCAAACCCCTACTATTTATTTCCCAGTCAGGGAGGGGTTGGCTAGTGTCTTCTTTTCCCTGAGAGCCTGCTTATTGCCTTCCGTTACTCTCCTCTCCTCTCTACACATATGCGCATCTGGGATGGGCCCCATCAATTCCTCCCTCTCACTCAGTTCAGGCCCCAAAGACAGCTGCCTCTCCAGCTGAGGGTGGACAGACTGCCCTGGCTCTGCATCTGCCTCTGTTTCTGTTTCCTCATCAAAGCTTTCCAAAGGCTCCGAAGCTGGCCCAAGCTCCCCCTCAACCTCCTCGTCTGCTGTAGCTCTGCTGGCAGCCAATGGGCCAGAACACTGCACACTGATGATACCTTACTCCAACCCAAAAGGTGATCCTACCAAGTACTTTCATGTTATGTTAAATTATGGGGTGAGGGTGTGGCAGCACAATAATCTCTGTGATACTCCACACATCAGGGGGTTGGGGTAAATCTCTCCACCATTAACACCAGTTGGAACTTTCCACAGAGAAAGGAAGATAATCCCAGCACATTATGTTCCATTCCTAACCCTCATAGGTAGTCTATTCTGTTTAAATTTAAATGTTTATTTTATTTAATGGAGCGGGTGATAGTTTAATTAGACAGAGAGAGGATGAAAGATGTTTTACCCATGTCTTCACTTTCTTGCTTTTCAAAGCCTCCTCCTAATGTAAAATAGCATTCTCATCTCCTAAAAATCCACTGCCCCTTCCATAAGCCCTGTTTTCTTATTTGAAGAAATAAGAAATCAATTCTTCTAATTATTTTGTGTGTGTGTGTCTGTGTGGTAGTACTGCTAACCATGTTAGATACCCATTCACATGCATTTAACAGAGACCTTTCCTTTTCTGCTTTTTTTTAAAATGCCTTCAGAGTTTCTCTCTTAACGTTCTGCTCCAGTTTGTTTATCCATTTAATAATATTTTTCCCTGCCCTGATCAAGAAAGACTTGGGGTGGGATATTGAAAAGTCACAAAGAAAACAAACAATATGACATAAGCCTTGTTATCCTCTGTCCCAAAAGAAGTATTCCATAGGCGCCTCAATATTATAACTATTCTAAGGGTCAAATGTCTATTTAAATAGCGCTTCTCTGGCTGTGCTTAGTCTGAAGGATGTCTACCGGAAGACCTGATTGATCATTCCCCTGCTTCTCGCCCTTTCCATCTGTGCAGAGCTAATTGTCATAAAAAGCTGTTTAGAGCAATTGTTTGGGGTATACCAATCTTGAGAATTGGACTGATTGTAGCCAGAAAAAATGACTATTGTTGTGTATGCACATTATATTGTCTGGGTAACAAGCTGAAGCAAGAAAGAGGGTCAATTGACTGCTTCCACGGCAAATGAGAAATCGACCATTGTTCCTGGAACGCTGTTGTTTCTAACTGCTGCATATAAAGGCATTGGTGTTAATTGAAACTCTTTCTGAAAATTAGCTTCGGTTCCAACCTTAAAACTAAACGAAGGACTTTTGGCAATTCTGCACTGCTGCCTAAGGTGCTTTTCTGCCACGCTGCTCCCATCTGTTTCTTAAGCCAACTTCAGAAATCTCAGCCTGGATTGAGTCAGTTGGCAACAGAGCCCAAGAGCTGATTGGCCATTTCTCTGCTTCTCGCCTTCCCATCCATGCAAAGGAAGGGAAGTCTCACTGATCGACTCAACTCCCCTGTAGGCTGGAGCACCAATGCCTGCCTTTTCCCTTGAGAGATTGTTCCTCCTCACTATTCCCCTTGCTTTGCCTCTCCTTTCCAGGTATTTACACACATGGATGCTTTCAGTCTTCCTTCCAATATTATCAACTCTTTCCCCCCTCTTTTTTCCCTTTGTGACACAGGGAACAGATTGTTATTTCACTCCTTACTGATAATTCAGCTTCATAGAAGTAATATAGCAATGGAGAGAGAAAGAGAGATAGAGACAGAGACACAGACAGAGACAGACAGAGAGGGAGAAAGAGGGGGAAGGGAGGGAGGGAGGGAGAGAGAATAAACAAGGAAGGAGAGGGAAGAGGGATAGGATAGGATAGGATAGGATAGGATAGGATAGGATAGGATAGGATAGGATAGGGAAGGGAAAGGAAAGGAAAGGAAAGGAAAGGAAAGGAAAGGAAAGAAAAGGAAAGGAAAGGAAAGGAAAAGAAAGGAAAGGAAAGGAAAGGAAAGGTAAGGTACAATGTTTCATTCAGCCTGGGCAGATATGAAAAGAAAGTCCACTGGAAGATGTAAGGGTTGAATGGAACATGAGGATTTAAGGGTAAGGATAGTTTTATTAAAGGGTCATTGCTAAAACAACTTCAAGATCATATGTTTTAAAAAAATAACTACTGGACTGTAATACTTTATGCCAGGATCAGCTCTGGAACAGTTTCTTGATCTGAAAGGATTGCATCTTGTATGAGAGATGAGAAACACAGAGTTCAATTAAGGCACATTAAGCTACAGGTAGTTCTCAACTTAAAACCATTCACTTAGTGATTGTTCAATGTTCTGATGTGCTAAGAAGGGACTTACAATTGGTCCTCACATTTAAAACTGTCACAACATCCCCACGGGTCATGTGATTGTGATGTGGGTGTTGGCAACCACCTCACATTTACAATAGTTGCACAGTCCCAGAGTTAACATCATCATCATTTGTGACCTTCCCAGCTGGCTTCCAAGAAGCAAAGCAATGGGGAAGTTGGCAGGGAAAGCTGCAAATTGTGATCGCATAATGTCATGCTTAATGACTTTGCAAAAAAGGTAATAAAATCAGGTATGGCTGTGTAATGCACGTAATAGCACACACCACTGAACAATAAATTTTTGAGTCCCAATTGTGATCATAAGTCGAGGACCAATGTTAAGATATTTAATAGTTAGAAAAGATAGTGGGCCAGAACACACAGTGGTCATTTGATTGGTTGGGGAGTGCTGGCTCCTGCATGAAGTAATCTATGTTATGATTGGTTACTGGGTTTCCTTTTTCTCCGCCTTTTACTTCTATGTGCTTGTTTTCTGTTCTGTGATATCTGGTGATTTGCCTCATGATGTAGTGATGTGCCTGACTGTTTGGTGTATATATAGATGTGAAATTATTTATATAAAAGTACAAGTACGTGTCAGCATCTATGACTTCATTTGGACCCCTGCTGCACAATTCCTTGACGCTACTTATATCCTGAATTCAAAGCAGACAGGCTATTTACCCTATCTGAGCCACAAACATGATGCCAAGCATGCTATTTTGGGAATCTCTTTGCTGCTAGGTAGCAAGCATCCAAATTTTTGCTTTCCAAGATAGTTTTGAGTCTTCACTATTTCTTAAAATTGTTTGAAGTTTTGTGTCAACACAACACAGAACAGCCAAATCTGAGTTTTTTCCCCATCAAACCTTGGCAAACTCAAATTCAACAAAACTCCTGGGTTGTACTGTTTTACTATAGGTTTGAAATAAAATACATTTTCCATTTTGGCCTCATCTCTGGTGTTACCAATTTTCAATATCGTTGAGCTTTAGTGCTTAGGTTTCCTGGCTTATTTCTGATAGCCTTTTTGTTTTTTAATAGCTTCCTTACAGGGGGAAAAATTGTAGAAAAAAATGGCAGCTGTATTTTTCCCCCTGGTATGGAGCTATAGCCAAGACTCTGCCTGTTAAATTTCTTGCAAGCTCTCAAATACAGGGAAGATTTGAATGAAAAAGCTGGCAAGCCTCACTTGAGGAACAGATTGTGTAGATAGTATCCCATCCAAGATAAAAAGGCTCAGAAATTCTCTCACTGATTTAAGTGTGCCTGTGGATAAGTTGAGAAGATGAATCTAACCTACCTCAGCCTTAATAAAACTTCAGCATGAGAAAAAAAGCTATAAAGATTAATAAGCCAGTTTCTCAAAAATTTACCTACCTACAATAAAAGTATTTTTTGGTAAGATATTAAAAATAAAATTCTTAGTAATCAACATACCTTTAGTCATACTTTTAATCTTCCCTAGAGGAGAAGGAACTGACACGTATGACCCATCTGAAATTTTAAAAAAGAAAATAAATCTTACAAGTCTTTACAAAACGTATAATATTTTGAATAATTTTCTTTTAACAAATTAAATCCTACTCATTATTTACTCATGCTTTGAAAAGAAATGGTGATGTCAGTCAAAAAAATGGAAAGATATATGCAACCCAAAGATTTAGAATGTTCTACTAAAACAACTTTTAGTGCTATGTTCATGTTGATGTTACATATAAATATTTTGAGATTCGCTAAATGAACCCCAATTTATACCTTAGACAATTGGGTTAGAAGACTGGGTTTTAATGAAATTTAGATAATACAGATGATCCATTAACAAGATACAAAGGGCTGCTTTTAGCCATTTTACACAACAAACACCAGGTATGGTACTGAAAAAAAATTGATAGTACTCTTTAAGTTTTTATTAATTTTAATAAAAAGTAGATGATCCCAAGAAATAATCATGTATAGTTTGAAGAAGAAAGGCATTCCAATCTATTTGCTTGAATTATTTGATGTATTGCACCAGGGAAAAGAAATCTTCTAGACAGCATCAATAGGAGAAAAGTATTATATGCCTTGAACAGCTCCCTCACTCTGAGTACTGCAAAAGAAATCTCTGAGAGATTTCAAGATTACAATCACTTTCAAATGTGAGGAAAAACAGTAATTTTTCTGGATGGTATTTCATTAATTGGTTTATAAGAAAGGGCCTGACATTCCTAGACACAACAGAGCACCTATTTTTAAAGTAGGATTTTATAAACCACACTTATTGCTTATAATCATTACTTACAAGCCAGATTTACCTATCTATCTAATGGATTCAGAGACTGTCGAGGACATTCACTGGTTAATTTTCCCTATACTACACTTGGCTCTATTAAAATGAAATTTAAAACGAACCACTGATTAATTCAGAATTAAGACTGAATTCAGTATGGTTCCTGCATTAGCTATTTTCTTAGTAAAGTTTATAATTTGAGCTTGGTATAATGGAAATTAATTTGCTTTAAGGAAAGATTTCCTTGTTGATATTTTGTGCTGAAGTTATAAAGCCTTTCATACAGCTTAAACCAGTAAATTTCTTCATACCGTGTATGTAGAAATCTGCTTGGTCAGAAAGAATTTTTTTAAAAAAATAATAATCAGAAAATAGATATTTGAAACCAAAGAAAAATGTTTACATCTGAATTCGAATCACTCTTATGCTGTTTGTGATCGGAAACAAGAATGCCAGTGTTGGAAACATGAAAGAGAAAATATAGTTGGACTGCATGGCTTGAGAATTAAAAATGAATCAGGCAATTGACTAATCAATTTCAGCTTCTCCAATGTCCCTTTAAAGCTAACATTATCTTCAAACAACCAAAATGACGGCTTTATATATGGATATCACTACATGGAGTGTATAGAAATCACATTGGCTATATTAGTACTAAAAGGATCTGGAGGAGTTCAATTATAACATCAAAGACCTGGGCAGGTGTTGACTGTGGAACAGACCATGAACTGCTCATGTGCAATCCCCAAATTAAGCTAAAGAAGATAAAGACAGCCAGTCAAGTTCCACAATATGATCTTGAACATATATCCATCCATTTCAAGGAGAACATTAGGAATCTCTTTGAAGTTCTAAACTTTATTGATAGAGAAACAAAGAAATTGAATTTAAACAGGTTGTTAAGAATGAAAGTGAAAAGAGATTGCCAAAAATGAAGAAAGACAAGAAAGCAAACTGGAATGTCAGAACAAACTGCAAAAATTGCCACTAAAGTAAAAAAAATAATATTAGAAAAGAAAAGAACTTAACAGTTTCAGAGAACTGTTAGAAGAGACAAACAGCGGCATTATAACATGTCTGTAAAGACACTAAAGGTGGAAACAGAGATGGCAAAACTTTCAAAGGGTCTCCAAACAGAGAAGAAAGTTCCAACTTCTAGTTGATATGCTGAAGGATAACAATGGGCAGATAGTAATAAATTCAAAGGGGGTCAAAGGAATATGTCAATTTGAAACACTATATAGTACAGATGTCAACATTCAGGATACCTTAGAAGATATTCCTTACCTACAAATACCTTTACTACTAGGAGATGAAGTTAAATCAGTACTCCTGTCATTACCAAGTTGGAAGGCTGGCAGGAATTGATGGAACACTCACTGAAATATTACATGCCACAGAAGAAGAATCAATCAAATTTCTAACCAGGCAAAGCTGTTCTCCAAATCTGGAGAACAACACAATAGCCGACTGATTGGAACAATATTAGAATTCTACATTGTAATACAAAAAAAAAAAAATTAATAGAGCATGCAAACTATTGTGCAATATCCTTAACTTAACGTATTAGCAAAATAATGGATGGAAAAAGAGATGCCAGATGTTTAAGATGGCTTTACAAAAAGCTGAGAAATACAAGCCACCATTGCTGATGTTGTTTGTCTAAATGAGGAAGTCAAAGAATACAACAAAGAAATCAATTATAGAAAAACCTTTGATTGTGTCAATCATGTCAAGCTCGGGAAAAATGGGAAGCCCAGAACATCTGATTGTTTTCATAGTAAATTTATATAGAGGTCAGGAAACTACAGTATAGACAGAATCTGGTGAAAAAGATTAGTTCTATGTTGGCAAATGTGGGCTACAAGGCTGCATATTCCCCTGCCCCTTCTCTACTCAATCTACAGTATATGCTAAATATGCTGCATATTAAGGGAAGATGGATTGGGAAAATATGATCATTTTTAAAATTGGAGGAAGAAACTTCAATAACCTGCACTATGCTGATGACTCTACCCTTACAGCTGAAAATGCAAAGGATCCGAAAGCTCTAGTATGAAAAGTCAGACCATGGTGAAAAAATGGGTCTAAAATTAAATATAAAGAATATCAAATGAATGACAACAGGAGTACAACCAGTCTTAGAATTCACAATTAAGCTATCAAAGTGTTGGATAGCTTCCGCCTTTTGTGACGTATCTATACCTACAAAGATAAAAATTGTGCAGACCACTGTATTCCATTGAACACTACGAAATAATTTACAAAATTAAAGAAGCAGGATAGGACATGAAGAATATTTCTATTCTTTGAATGTTGGTGTTGGAAAGGCTCCCGAGAATGGACATCCAGGAAACAACCCAATGGATCATTGAACAAATCAACCCAGAGTTCTCACTTCAGGCACAAATAACCAGGCTCAAATTATTCTGGATTGGACATATTATGCAAAGATCCAGCCCTCTAGGAAAGGCTCTAATGCTGGGAAAGATACAAGGAAAGAGAAAAAGAATATGACCAGATGCCAAGTGAATTCAGTTACAGTGGCAAACAGTTGGAAGACTTCAAAAAACAAGATACAGATAGATCATTATGGAGGAAGTCTATCTATACAGTCACTAGGAGTCAAAGTTGATGAGGGCATATAATTAATCAATAAATCATATCATTCTTGTTTATGATATATTTATCATTGGTTGCTGCAAAACAAACTTCAAAGAACAGGCTGAAGCCAGCAGTCATTACATGCAATATCCTTCAATTTTTTTGACAAGCATAACAGAAAAAAAATCAGTCAGAAAATGGATTCTCTCTTTTCCCCTAAACTTGCATGTAATGTGTTGTTGTTAGTTGTGAAGTCATGTCCAACCCATCATGACCCCATGGAAAACATTCCTCCAGGCCTTCCTGTCCTCTACCATCCTCTGGAGTCCATTTAAGTTCATGCCTACTGCTTCAGTGACTCCATCCAGCCACCCCGTTCTCTGCCGTCCCCTTCTTCTTTTGCCCTCAATCTTTCCCAGCATTAGGCTCTTCTCCAGTGAGTCGTTCCTTCTCATTAGGTGGCCAAAGTATTTGGAATGGCAAAATTGTTTTCTTACAGTTAACCTTGATTCAATGTTACTCACATTTATTGCCTGTTTTATATAGACTGTGAGATATAATGTCAATGGGACATTGTCAGACCTACTAGATCAGGGGTGTCAAATTTATGGCATCATGTTATCGTCATGTGACGTATCATGACTTTTTTCCCCTTCCCTAAACCGGGGGTGGGAGTGGCCAGCATATGATGCATCCAACTCACAGGCCATGAGTTTGATATCCCTGTACTAAATCAATAATTAACTCCTGCTACATATAATTGATAGTTTACATACAATTACTATAAGGGCATAATGCAATCAGAGCCTTCTCATCTTCCTTTGCTTATTGAAAGAGTGCATAGACCCCTAAGTACCTATAATTGCTCATTTTCTGTGTAGTCCTTGTAGGAGGGAAGCCAAATCTTACATAGTATATCTGACTCTGATTTTTGTTTTACATTCTTTATAGTGTCCATTTTCTTCCGAGGATTTCCTTACCTTATGAACTATTGGCAATCCTGTTTTTATTCACTTAGGCTCTCATTTCCTGAGCTTCTCTTATCTTCTCAGCCTACAGCCATCTGTAAAGCTTCTGAATTTCCTCTCCTTCCTTGCTACAATCTTAAATTTCTCTAGCCTTTCCTTTCTTTCTCAATGTCTTGCTTGTTCTCCAGGTGTATTAAAATAGTCTCCTGCTAAGGGCCTGATCTCATCCTTCTCTCCTACCTTATTATTCCATCTGGCCCCTAAGAAACTGATTAGGTTCTGCTGTCAGCAATGATGTCTACTTATTCTATTAACTCTTGCTGCACTATTTTGAGGCTGTTCACGTTGACTAGCCCTGCAGCTATCTAGTTGTTTGGAACAAAGCAGCTATTAAGGTTATTTTTAGCCATGCAAAGTGAATAGTTTAGCAACACCACACCTCCTCCAGGTAGAGAGTATTCATTACAAGGGGATTCATCCTGGGGTCTTTTGTAATGTTTCAAAAGGGTGACAATAGCATCATGTCCTGAAAAATAGCAATCACCATTAGAAGCAAACAAGAACAGAAGTACCACATTGCCAACAAAGAATCTGAGAATGCAGTTCAAAAGTACATTATGAAATGTCGAACAGTATTGTTGTTGAATAAAATGTTATCTTAGAATTTAAAGGCACCATAAAACATCTTGTATTCTTGGATACATTACACATACCAAGGCAATAATAAAATCCATTCATAGTTACCTACAACAGTTCATTTAGTGACCTATGAGTGTTTTTCACACTTACGACCATTGCAGCATCCCCATGAACACGTTACGTGATCAAAATTCAGACACTTGGCAACTGATTTATATTTATGATGGTTGCAGTATTCCTGGATCATGTTTTGCAATCTTCTGAGAAGCAAAGTCAATGGGGAAGCCAGATTCACTTAACAACTATGTTACCAACTTAACAACTGCAGTGTTTCACTTAACAACTGTGGCAAGAAAGGTCATAAAATGGGGCAAAACTCACTTAACAGCTTAACAACTCTCACTTAGCAACAGAAATATTGGGCTCAATTGTGGTCGTAAGTAAAGGATTACCTGTAACTCTGAGAGAAAACATATACACATACACAAACACACATTTCTGCCCCCATTCAAAACCAGCTTTCATCTCTTCTCACATTGTAAGGCGTTATATTCTTTTAGGATGTCTTCTTTATGAGAATTTTTGTTTAAAAAAGTAATGTTTTCTTTTTTCAAAAAAACGGAATATTTTGAATGTTTTAAATATTGTAATTTTGTTTAACCTGACTGAATGTTGCTCAGAGAATATGTAAATGTGATAAACCAGTCAAGTGATAAAGAACTGGCAGTTCATAAAAAAAAGAGGTTATTTCTAATGTACTGGTATATTTATAAAGCTAAATAATTCTGGGGTAAAAAGCATTTATAAGCAACTTGGAATTCAGTCTGAATGACATGAGATTACAATCTCAAATTTATAACCCATAAAAATGTCACACTCAAGAATGGTTGTTGATGACTTCAGAGTGAATAGAAGCTTATGTGAATTTGGGCACATTTTCATGTCAAAATATATTTTGGCTCAGCGATGGATAAGCATGAAGGAAATAGCTTCCAGACCTCAACAATTTTCTAGATGAGTTTGGAGGAAAAAGAGAAGTAGAAATGAAGTGTTATCAGACCAGACCTGCAAAATGTGTAATATGCAGCTTTTTTGCAGGATTTCTGCAGGAAATCAAGGATAGCTCTCTATCTTTAAAAGAGGCATCTGCTTCTGCCCTTTGTAGTAGAACCAAAGTTTCTTTCTGCATAAAATCAATAGTAGTCCTTGACTTCATAATGAACTTCATGGATAACTGTATTGTAATGCTGTTTGTGAACCCTTGTTCAGTTATAATAGTGTGTGTGTGTGTGGGGGGGGGGTTTGTGGAGACTTTTAAAAAGTCTTGTCTATTTTTTACAGATAGATATTGCCTTTTCTGGACTTAGGCATACAATTATGGATTTTTGGATTTTTATTTTATAGGTGTTGAGAAAGGTCAAGATGGAATTGGCGTGGAATTCAAACTCTGGCTACTGGGTTAGCATTTCTGAGAGCATAAATCCAATACTTGGTCTTCTGCATTCTCTTAGTGTCAGAAGCAGATGCATATGGGCAGCCATTTTCAAAAGTTTCCTATGTTGTTCTGCTTTTCTGATTTGTAACACCTTCTTTTTAATGCACAAAGAAGAATACCCAAAGAATACTACCTTTTTCATAGGCCCACATCAAACAGGTTTGTTCATCTTTTTCACCACTGGATCTGCTGGAGTCAGAGGCTACTAGATTCATATCAGCTCCATTGTCCAGCAAAAATTGGACAAGGCGGATATGGCCATGATAGCAAGCAGAATGTAACCCTGGAAGAGGAGGAAGAGGAGGAGGAGGAAAAAGCATTGTTATAAGAAAGATTTTCATAACAATATAAAGGATTACAGAATAATAAAATGGGTTTAAAGAGTATAAGAAAGAGTAGACTTGTTTTAGTTGAGCTTGATTTCAGATGATTACATAGATAGGACTGCTCTCCTGGAGAAGATTGATTTAAGCCTGGATTAGACTTCAGCATCACTGCATGTCAGGGAATGTATGTCGTTCAGAGACAGTTGCATAGCTGTTGCATTTATTGCATTCATCGTTCTGTGAATGTTAATTTTCTGCCCTAATTATTGGCTGGTCTATCACAGAATCGTTCTTCCAATTATTGTTTTGGATCATATACATTTTCTTTCCTTACTTCTTGCACAGACACAACACAAACTGATCCTTAGTAATTTACCTGTATGTCCATCTCTACCCTGGTGATTGAGACTCATTACATTCTGATCAAGAAGAAACTTCACCAGTTCTATGTTCTTGCCATAGGTACACGCACTGAATGAATTAGAAGAATTTTTGAAAACAAAATCAAATAAGTTATTGACAATTTTAGTCAATAATGTATAAGAAACACAAATACCTAAGATTAGAAAAATCTTCTGTCTGTCTGTCTTTCTGTCTGTCTGTCTGCCTATCTATCTATCTATCTATCTATCTATCTATCTATCTATCTATCTATCTATACACACACATATCTTCCTATATGATGGTTCACAAAATGTATATTAAAGAAACAAATCTTTACTCCCAAATGCTTTTGTTGAGCCATATATAGATAAAAAAATTGACTGAAGGAAGCAATTCTTTGAAGAAAGAACTAACTTCCTATTTTTGCATTGTTTTACCCATAGATTTCTATTGCATTTCATCACAGTAAATTCTAAGAAAGGTAATCATGTAAAGTTTTTTAAAAATACAAATATTTTCAGAGATTCTGCATATATTGTTGATGCAATTCTAATATTGTTAAGTCTGTTGCTTTTCATTTTCTTTGCACAAATTACTTCTGGTTTTTATCTTTAAGTTCTGGGTGTTATATTTGTGTTATTTCATAGTTTTATAGCTTTGGCCACCTAGAATTTTTCCTCACTAATGATACTTGGTACAAATATAAGACTCATCAGATGTGTTTTATAGCAGATGTACTTTGCTGCATGGAAAACAGTAAATAAAACTGCAAAAAGGAAAGTTTGGGAATGAGAACCGGTGAGTATCCCAGGAAAAGGAGATAAAATTGGGTTTACCAATCCTTTTCAGTAACATTTTGAGTAACCAATCAAATATCTGACAGACAGAATGACTCAGTCATTTTTTTGACTTGGAAAAAAGAGGGGACAAAATCAAACATAAAACAGAATACCTATGAAAGGCAGTTTCACTAAATATATTTTCCTTAGTGAGACTTTCTGTTCCTGAAAGTTGGATTAACTCCTTTACAACTTCAAATTTTCCATTGTAGCAAGCCCTAGAGAGAGAGAAAATGATCAAGACACTGTTTTTAGTAAAGAAAAGTGGAAATTAGTGCACACTAAGGAGAAAAAAAAAAGGCCTGGATTTCTTGTTACTTACAAGTGTAGTGGCGTATCGCCATAAATGTTAACCACATGGGATTGGACTTCAAAATTACTTTGGAGCAAGAACCTGACAATATCCTGATGTCCAAATCGAGAGCAGAAGTGGAGAGGAACATGGTCTTCATTGTCTTGAGCATTCACTACCATTCAATCAAAGGAGGAAGAAAAAATCAGTAGCTATAATTAAAGCTTTATCATGAATCATAGATGTGATGTATAGATTATGAAATTTCATTGGAAAGGGACAGAATCTGACAAACTCAAGTGGTCTTCTATGCAACTTGATCCCATAAGGCAGAAATACACATCCTCATATATTTTCATTCAATCCAGAGGAAAACTTGCCCAAAGATCAGAAATAAAGGAACACAACTTTTAATACTGTCTGAGAACAGTGAACTAAGCATAAGGTACAAACGAAAGCACATGCATACATGACCAAATTAAAATCATGAGCAATCTGTGCATGTAATTGAAGGAGTTCTAAATCAAGGCAGTTGATTTAGAACAGTTAAGCAAAACTAATTTATCTGAGAGAGAATGTCCTCTTTGGGTAGAAAGCAGGGGTGAAATCCAGCAGGTTCTGACAGGTTCTGGAGAACTGGTAGCGGAAATTTTAAGTAGTTCCGAGAACCAGCAAATACCACCTCTGGCTGGCCCCAGAGTGGAGTGAGAATGGAGATTTTGCAGTATCCTTCCTCTGGAGTGGGGTGGGAATGGAGATTTTGCAGTATCCTTCCCCTGGAGTGGGGTGGGAATGGAGATTTTGCAGTATCTTTCCCCTGCCATGCCCACCAAGCCACACCACACCACGCCCACCAAGCCATGCTCACAGAACCTGTAGTAAAAAAATTTGGATTTCACCACTGGTAGAAAGGAAATATTATCTGACCCAAAACCATGATAGGAAGTCCTAGCTGCAGAAGAAAGAGGGAAATCTTCAACCCAACGGAGCTGCAATTGAGGAACCACATAGAAACCTAAAGCTGTTCTTCAAAGATTCATCCATCTGAACATTAATTTAGTGAACTGGGAGCTTCAGGAGACTGCACCTCTCTTTCTATTTTTCCATTTTCTTTTCCATTAGTAGGTACAGTTTATTCTCACTTAGTGTCCATAATGATACTTCATAAGATGTAAAGTGCTCTGGGACAGTTTCTAGCCATTTTCATATCCTTGATTTGGGATTGAAATATAAAACAGAAGCAATGTTCTGTTCCCAGGCTTGGGTTTAACTGTGATTGTAATATATTGATGGGGCATATTTTGTAGTTTTATACTATTTATGGTTGCAGCTGTTTTAGTCTGGACTGCCTATTTATGTGGGTTTAAACTGTTTTAATTCTATTTACTGTTTTTTTCATAAGCCACTCTTCTGCAGTGGGTGGTCATAACACATCTAATACATTTAATTTAATTTAATTTAAACCCACAAAAGCTATCCTGCCCTAGTTCTTAAGGAGAATAGTATCTTCCTGCTTGCTCTGCAACCGATCCTGTGTAATGTTTTCCCTATGGATATGATGATTCCAACCTGTATGGATGGTGGGGGGAAAAGAGTATTCATTGCTTAAAAGAAGATAGAAAACAAATTGGGGATCCAGTTATAACATCAAGTTTAGCTGCAAGCCCAAACAACAGGCGTGTCCATTGGTTGTAATGTCAAAATTCAAAATGGTAGACACAACGGTGTGATCAAAGATCCGCCTCTATTTTTTGTATGTGTGATACAAATTAAAAAAAGACAGACAAAGTTTCAATCACATTGCTGTGGCCACCATCTGGATTTTTTTTTTTAACCATATGCTACAAACACCCTACCTCTCCATACACTGTTTCTCAAATACCATGATTGACTGATAAAGGATTTGTACCCTACAGCTGACCTTTTATGCCTTTATTCTGTAATTGCTTAGAAACCAGAGACCCGACTGTAATCAATTATTGCTGCAGTTATATTTGCTGAGTATTATTGTGGGGTTTTCAGTCAAGGAAAATAAAAAAGCTTCACTGAGTTAATGACCTTTTCACAGGAATCCTGCTACCTTACATATTAAGCACGCAGAGCGAAATTATGACCCAAAAGGCAAGTGTTAAAGGAAACAAGCACCCAAGTTATTACAAGAAGAATGAGAAGCTAAAATTATTCAGCATAAGGAAACAATGTTCTGTGGCCTGGAAAATTCATATTTTATTTAAAATACATTAATGTTGCTCGTGCTGCGAATCAGCAATAATTGAAACCTATGTCAAAGATGTATTTGACATCTTTGGTAAGGTAAATGTAAACATATGTATGAAGGTAAGTACATCGGAGTAAGAGTTGAAATAAAAGTTCTTCTAAAAATGTTCTGTAGAAAAACTGAAAGTTTTCTAGGTTAATTATTTGCCACATATATGGCATCTTTTAATTGACATTAACATTCATGATTAATCTGAAATTGATGTTATTTACTATTTACTCCTTTCTCATCATCAGTCCAAAATAAATATATTTTTTGGTCTTTGCCTACGAAAAAGAGAACTCTTTCCTATCTTATGTGATCTATAATAACAAACAAAACATCTTTCATAATATTAGTGACTTTGGCATACACGTGTTGTTTTTATCTGTCTTTCATGCAAATTAGAACTCTGTTTACTGAGTTCTTATATGTTTTTACTGCTTTCTAGAACCAGGACATTATTTTTAATTTGAGCTGATGTACCTCAGAAACAGCATTGCTGTTCACTTTTAGCAATGTGTTAAACAGCTGTATGTATTTTAAAATTGACCTTAGTGTTAATTTATGTACTCTATTTACTAGAAAAGCAATGAAATGGAATCAGGGGAGCAAAAATGTGAGAGTCACATTTAGAATCTATTCTAAAAGAATAGATCCATTATTCCCAAATAAGTTTCTGTCTGTCTGTCTATCATACAGGTAATCTTCAGGTTACAAAGCAGATTGGGACCAGAATTTCCATTGCTAAGGAATGCAGTTGTAAAACACAACATCATGCAACCCTGTCACTTAGTAATGGGAATTCTGGCATTCCTGATTGCCATCATAACCTGAGGACCACATAGGTCATTAAGCAGGGACCTCACATGATTTTTATTCCCTACCGGCTCCCCCATTGACTCTCTGGGAAGCAGGCAGAAATATAAGAAACTGCAATCATGTATCCACTGGGATGTTATGATGGCCAGAATTCCAAGTACCAGTCATAAGTACTATTCATTCAGCGCCACTGTAATATTGAACAGTCAAACAATTGCAACCCAGGGACTACCTGAATTTATATGCTGCCCATCTTGTCAAAGATAATTCTGTTATGCTGCCAATGATACAAATAACCTATGTCATGCCTTTGATACAAACTAATACAAATGACATAATCGGCATTATTTAGATGATATTATTACACAAATGACCCAAACTGGTATTTGCATAATCTTATTTGCATGCTAAGTCTGTTGTACTGAGATCTGGAAAATCAAGGTTTCACTGTAATTGTATCTTTAACAATTAGGTAAAATCTTAAAATTGTCCCTACTTAAATTTAATGTTATTTGTTTCCTGAATATGCACATGTCGGATTAATTTTTCTTCCATTCTGATTTTCAGAATTTTAAAACAATAAATGCCCTGACGCTAAAAAATAAAATAAAATAAATGTGAGAATCATAGAAATGTCCATCACTCTCAATGTCTCTTGAATTTGTAAATTCAAAGTTTGTTCCAGTTGACATCCAAGAAGTAGAATTTCATTATTTCTATCAAGAGGTATCATTGGTGTGATACCTCATGAGAAAGATTAGATTCATCTCCTGTGGGGACTTAATCTAGTTAAGTATTTATAAAGAATATTCAGGAAACAGCATGCCCTTCTTTTTGGCAGAAATTTTCCAATTCGTAGCTTGCAGTGATGAGTTTTTCACTTCTCATAAATACAATAATTCACTTGAAATTGATGTACAGAGGTCAGAAATGCTTCTGAAAGACATTATTGCTGCTAAACAGTAGTGCTTAAAACACACATTTCATTTCCAATCAATATTTTGCATCTCTGCTCCCTACCCCAAATTGTTTGGGACACTGAAGTTAATTCAATGAAAGTTTATCAGATTTCAAAAGCTTATAATTATGTAGGCTGGATTTTATCCGAATTATAACACAGTATCCAAACCACAGTTTGGCAAAAGTACTGCTTTTATCTTTTCGACTTACTTTGGTAAGAAAAATATATCGGCATGGAATCCAGTTATCTTGCCAAAACTAAAATGGATGTATTATTTGCTAGCAGTACTAAGAGTTCATAAAACTATACAATACTTCCTTAACATAATCCTTTACTTATATAATGGATTAAATTTTTAAAATGTTTTAGAAAGCACTTTAAATAAGAACATTATCATGAAATTAGTTGTCTTAAATTCACAAGTCTAGAATGTGAAAGGAACAAGCATCATAAAACTGAATTTAGTTAAAATATTTCTTAAAAACAGCCATCCGCAGAAAATGTGCAGTTCAAATAACACCACTTAAAAAGAAGTGGTAAGAAAGCAACAACCACAATGATAAAAAAAATAAACATCTGTGCTGTTCATCTGGCAATAAGTGTACATCAAAGGATTTGGAGATTCGCCCATAGTTCTTTGCTGGATTCTTGCCATATTTCAGTTGGCAATCAAAATCCCAGGTGCAGTTTTGAATACCTTCCATCTCTGACATATTTGCTTATGTGAAAAATAGAGCAGATGAAGAAAAATATATAACTCATAATGGATCCCCATTTTGAGCAGAATATTCTCGATAATATGCCTACTCTAAATATCATCCGGAAGAAAAAAAGAAAGGGATATGAGACGCAAATGCTTATCGTGCATGCTATCTGGATGCCTAAAGGAAATCATAACTCAGGTCCATAATATGAATGTGAAAATTGAAAATATTGGCCAGCCAGGAGAGAATAAAGGGATGACTAGAGCTTGGAGAATAGTCCATTTGTTCAAAGAGATTTAGTGAAAAATAGCCCAGCATTGATTCATTAGGACTGCCCAATCTGGTCAGCAAAACTCTTGAGGACTAGCAGAAAAGAGATGTAGAACAGTCTTAATATTTTGCTGGCTTTGAATTTTCAGTGCAATTATAGG